CGGGCGAGACGAAAGCGTCGGTCGGTCCGTGCCGATTGCCGCGCGCGCGCCTATGTAAACGCGACACCGCATCGAGATACCTGCGTACCGCCACATCTCTGTGTTAACATAATGCATCGAGCAGACGCGCGTCTCTTTGATGGAAGGAATGTGTTCCTAAGTGACGAGCCGCCCCGAATACGAGTAAATATCGTCCGTAGACAGCGCCTGGCTCGCGGCATCGTTTCGTACAGTCTCGCACGAGCGAAGCGATTCCTGCGGGGGCATCCCGCCGCCGCACAGTGGGGCCAAACGACATTTCGTGTTTCAAAAAAGGCTACAGTCTCGAAATGTTAACCGATTTCGATGTTTTTTTTTTAAATGAAAGCTAACAAAATTTGCAATAACTTTGTGGAGGTAGATTTTTGTTTTTTGTTTTTTTTTATTATTAAATTACACATAAAACAATTAAATTTGTAAAATATAATGACTGAACAGCAAGTGACTCTTCAACAGTAAATATTTTCTGTAACTTAACATCGGGCACTGATATAGTTGAAATTAAACATTCAAATCCTGATTTAGGAACCATAAAGTTTGACCTAACTTCACAAAATGTTACCTTAACAAATAAAATTGATATGATAAAAATAATATAAAATTTTAATAAATTAGTAAATTAGTGAATTAATTAAAAGTAACACTAAATTATTATTATAAATTCGTACTTATTAAATAACTATTGTTCGTCAAGCAACAAGTTTTGAGCTTCCGCATCTATTGGAATTGGAAAATGCTTCCATTCGTTACGAATTTATAATAATAATTTAGTGTTACTTTTAATTAATTCACTAATTTACTAATTTATTAAAATTTTATATTATTTTTATCATATCAATTTTATTTGTTAAGGTAACATTTTGTGAAGTTAGGTCAAACTTTATGGTTCCTAAATCAGGATTTGAATGTTTAATTTCAACTATATCAGTGCCCGATGTTAAGTTACAGAAAATATTTACTGTTGAAGAGTTACTTGCTGTTCAGTCATTATATTTTACAAATTTAATGTTTTTATGTGTAATTTAATAATAAAAAAAAACAAAAACAAAAATCTACCTCCACAAAGTTATTGCAAATTTTGTTAGCTTTCATTTAAAAAAAAAGCATCGAAATCGGTTAACATTTCGAGACTGTAGCCTTTTTTGAAACACGAAATGTCGTTTGGCCCCACTGTGCGGCGGAGCACGGCATCGCATGCCTCTCTCTATATATCCTCTCCACTTTAATCTTTCTTTTGTGACTCGGCTGTTTTAGCGTTTTTTATTCCCCGATGAGCCGGACCCCGACGGGCCGCGCACGGAGGGAGGGCCGCACTTGCTCGCTCGTTGCGAAGGGAGAGAGAGAGATGCATATAGGCAAGACATCGCTGCGGGCTTATTAGCAAGAAACCGGTGGGGAAAGACGAGGTCGTGCCGGGGGAACCGGCAAGATGGTAGACCGGGGGTTGGGGCAAATGCGAGCATGCTCATGGATAAAGATGGCCTCGCAATATCATAATAAATGTGCCTCGTGTCCCTCTGTCTTTCTCTCTCTCTCGTTTTTATTTATTTCGCACGGTCCTCATTAACGGAGTCGCACGAAAAAATAATGACCACCCTCGTTGTATATTCACGCTGAGCACGTTTGGTACGCGCAAGACTTTTCGAAACTGGTAGGAGTCGTCGGACTCGTTCGTGATTTCAGCAAAGACATTCTGTTCGCGAAAGATTTATGCGCGCCGTACACCCTTGGAGAGCTTTGAAGATAACGGCTCGAGAGGCTGTCTGTCTTTTCTCTCAATCCTCTTAACTTCTGAAATTAACAAAAAGGCTGAATCACTTCCTCATCTCGCTCCTTTATCATTTATAAAAAAAAAAGATTATCAGTAGCAATAGTGCAGAGAAATGCCAAACTGGAAACCAAATTATAAACTTCACATTACGTTTGATTATATTGAACAATGTCCAGACTTTGACTTTTAATGTATTTTTTTTTTCTTTTTTGGAGTATTTATCGCAAGAAAAATTATTATTCAAAATTGAAAGAATGTGTGTGGTTTTGAGAAATGCTATAGTTATTTATTTTCCGACTTTTACTTTTCACAGCACAATAAAACAGTGAATATCTGAATTCTTCGAATGCAGATATGTCTGTGAATATCTTCGATTATTTATCCAATACGTTTAATTTGAAAAGTACTTCATTGATATTAACGATTTCGTTTGCTTACAGATCTTCCTAAGAACAACACACAAATAAGATGCTTCTGCAATCAACCGGACTGCGTTCCTCAGGGATATATGTGTCGCGGTGAAGCCTGCTTCACAAAATTACCGTCGAGTGCAAACATGTTGCGCTTGAAAATGGAAAGCGTTTACAGCGGTTGCCTGGCCGAGAGTCTCGAAATACGTCAGTGCCCCGTGGGATTTCTCTGCTGCAATCAGGACCTCTGCAACCATGTGGACGATCCTGCGATGAAAAACAGATTTAACAAAACAATACAAGGTTCGATGGTTGTCTTGTTTATGTCGCACGCCATTAAAAATATTCTCAATACTTCCACCGTCGGTCGTATTGATTATTTTGTAATATACATTGCTATTGAATATTAGATATAGCTTTAAAATATCGATCAAATTAAATTTTTTAAATAAAAGTATCAATCTAAACTTTTACAAAAAAATATTTGTCAAATACTGATTCTAATTCGCCGTTGACATTATTATTATAGAATTGTTCGGCGATCAGCGTGCGTACTTGGATTCCTTGCATCCGAGCAATCACGGAAGTCAGCCAACGGACGGTTGGTTTCCGATGGCGACAATCGTCGTAGGTATCTGTGGATTCATCGTTCTGTTGATGATCGTCAGTTTAGGTGTCAGATGGCTCCAGCCCGTGCCGGCACAAAACGTAAACAAGTTTATGCCACATCGAACATCCGACAACGGGCCGCCCTTACTCGGATCACCGAAAGTGCCTCTGGTTTAAGAAATTCCGCAATCCAAAGACAGAGTTTCTCGACAAGATGTTTCTAAGTAGTAGTCAGTAGAGCTGCTTGTGCTGGTTTAGTATATGACTCATACAACCGGAACTGTGCCATATACGTATACTTGCGTAGCGGACGACACCGAGCATTTGTGTATTGCAATTTTATGCAACAGGCTGTATGAGCAAGATTTCTTTTATGATAAGATATTAATGTTATTCACATTTAACTTCATTTCAACTCTATTAATTTTTTACATATTTAATGCATATTTAATGCACAAAAATCTCTGCAAGATTCCATGGAGGCCAGAGTCATATACTAAACTCCAGCCATTTAAGCTATATAGAAAGCTAGCGAGCCGGCGAAGGCTCCATTTGGCTGTGAATTTTACGAAGAAAGCAACTATTGTAAATTATATCGTAAACAATGGCGTATTACTTGTTGCATTTCCTCGAAACTCCGACGCAGTACATGCGTCGTCGTGAAATCGAAGAGTGAGAACGGGCCAGGATTTTTGGACCCTTTAAACATGACGTTATAACGATGTAGCGCATACGATGTCTCTGCATCGTTGTAGGATTGTAAATATAGATAATATATGTACCTATGTATTTTTTATCATATTAAACGATACGTTGAATTCTCGAAGATGTAATGATTGAGTTACAATGTCGTAAACGCGGAAATATTTGCATTATGGACTGTAAATAAGAATATTATATAATTTTAATTTCTCCAATAAAGGGAAGATAATATTTCGCAAATAATCTATAAAAATTATTGCAGTGAGAAATTAATTCGTAGTTGATATAATTACGTCAAGAGTTCCGTTGCGTAACTTTGAAGCGTAGCCACTAAATTTGTGAAACCGTATTTTACCTACTTTATACATATTTTTAAGCGTATTCCGTATAAATACTATGTGATAGTACGACATAATATGATTAAACAAATACACAATAAGACTATTTAGATTTTGTTTTACACGTGTTACTTGTGAGGAATGAACAAAAAGATCAAAGTAAAGTATATTTTAAGCATCTTCTCGATGTGTTTGTCTCTATTTATTTGTTCCTTTTCATGGATAACATACACATTGGTATCCGATATATAGGAAGGATACGTCATTACTCTGTAAAATAGATATTTTGATCAGCTCAAAAAAAAAAGGATCTCGTGCTGCATTGAAATTTCAGTCATAAAACGCGCTTATAATACAAATGTTGGCATCACAGTTTAAAAACCGCTCATTATTTTTCCCGTTGTATACCATCCAATTTGTTCACAGATTTCTCACTGATTTCCATTACCGATCACTTCTTACATGTATTCTTTCCTTTTTTTTCGAAAGAAAGCGCATTATTTTACAAAAATACTGTTCAAGGTATCATATCGTCTTGTATTCCTGTAATTGCTTTCTAACTCTTGGCCAGAAAAGAAATTTTCCTTTCTTTTAAAAGAAACGGCTCTTGGTTTCTCGAGTCAATTGAATTTCGAGCATTGTCACAAATATGTACATACATACATGTACATACACAGTATCGAGATTTTTAGCTTAATTGTTTTATCAGTCACAACCCGCATGGGTTTTTCGTTAGTATTACAATATGCTGACAGATTTAGGAAAGTATCTCTCCAAATGATTTGACGTAGGCCTCGTGAAGCTTGTTGATAAAATCTGGATCGCTTTTCAACAGGTAATTGAACGCTTGTAAAAGCTGATTTCTCGTCAATGGTTCTACTGATCTGCTTGAAGGATCTGGCGGACTGGGAGCGGCAAACATTACAGGAGGTATCAAGGCTGGCGCTGATCCTCTTCCAGACAATGTTGCTGTCGGTGCGATAATGTCATCCGATGACTAAATCAAACAAAGAAAAATAAAGATTAAAAATATATATATATAATATATGTGTGTATGTGTGTGTGTGTGTGTATTAATATATGTAAGATCGTGAAATTTTTATTTTCTTACTGTACTTCCGGAAGCGTGAGCAAATAATGATGCAAGTGGATTGGCATTGTTGGTATTAGCAACGTTCATAGATTGATGGTTTTTTAAAGAACTCGTGTTGGTTGGAGACAGTATCCTGAGAAATCCAGTCGGCCCGTTTGAATCAGTAGTAGTTTGAGTAACGGGTAACGAATGATCTTGTGAGATCGACGTAGACGTGGACATTACTGACTCTTGTTGAGGAGTTGCTTTGTTCCGTCTTTTAGATCTGTTTGTAGAGGAAATTGTTGCGGATTGCGACTGAAGGGTGGAGGGCTGTGGCGTTATAGATCTCTGTTGTTTTTCAATATGTTCCAAAGTATGCGCCGCTGGGTGAGACATTAAGCGGGCGAGTAAAGGTTTGCTTTCAGCTGCAACCGCACTTCCCTGAGTAGGCGGATCGCCTGCTTTGAAATGTCCAGTATTCACCTACATGTAAACAATATGAAGAATTAAATAGATATTTTACTCCAAATTACATACAAGTGTGAATAAGATGATATTAACCTTAGCTTTAGCAAAGAAATCCATTACACTTTGCGAGGTAACGTCAGGTCCTAAGGGAACAGCTAGTGGCCCGGTAACATTATTCGGTGGAGAGTTTGATCTGATTATTGTGCCACCTTCAATATTCCTGCTTGTATTGAAATCCTTTTGCGCCTTGCTGAGCATACTGAATATATCCACATCGTTCACATTAGATCCTGAGGTTTTTTTAATTTTATCTACTGGTTCATTGTTATTAACACTGCGAGTCTCTTCGCATTCCTTCAAAAGTTTTCTTAACATGCATGCGATACGTATGCACTCTTCTTTTTCATAAAACCAAATACCATGTATGTTGTTTCTGGAATTTCTGTACAGCAGAAATGGTTCCTGTGGCTGCAAATCTAAACCAGGAGCAACTGGTTCTACTAAATTATTCGTATTCAATCTGTAACAGGTTTTATTTATTATAATAAATAAATAAATGTCAAGTTCCAGTGGTCAGTTTTAGATCAGGTATTGGATTAAAAGTTAACAAATCTCTAGAGTAAATTGGCAATACAGGGTAAACATAGTATACTATATCTCTTTAGACAGGAAATATAGATACATAGATACCAACAGAGAATATCACACTACCTGTTCATTATGAGAATACTGTGATACGGTTCGCCATTTCTCGAATAAAGAAACAAAGCGCCTTCGATGTCCGTCTTATCCCATTCATTCTCTTCTGCGTTGAATGTGTACAAAGCGACATGAGTCGCGGTTTCGAGAATATCCTTGACATAGGGATCAACTCGTTTCAACGCGGCCACGTTCATCCTCAATTCGATCCGATCCGTCATGATAATGATGATAATGATTAAAATTGCTGTGCACGTGGGGCTTTATAATAATTAGAAACTTAATATAAACGTGCTGATTTCACCACTCTTTGTCCACTGATTACCAGTCACAGAAAGGATCGTATTTTCAAATAACGCAAGCAGCTGCTCCTGGAATAACCGCCATACTAGATTTTGGCTTGATATCACAGACGCTAAAGAGTTTCCGAAATACTCGAAAGATGGCACAAAATAATTCTTCTCGTTTTATTAGATGATAATAGAACAGCATGGACATTTTCCTGGCGCCATATGTATTTTTTTACTAAATAAAAAAAATTATTCGATAATAATATCACTACAGGAAAGGAAAGAAAACATAAATACAAATAGTACAGCTACAAAGAGCTGATCTTTTATATCCCTTTTCGTCAGCGGCCGCGTCTGTATTCTGGCATCACGATTGACAGTGTGTTGATAAGATCAAATGACAACATGTCGGAGTACAACATGTTTCGATCGATTTTGATCAAATGCCAAATGTGACCTTTTAAGCACTCGTTTATTGTTTTATTCGCGATACGTTTTAATGTGTCGGTCTCTCGAGTAATGTTCTTCATCAATGTCCTGTGAATAAGGTTGGAGTGATCTCTAGATTACATCTGCAATATCATTGCGACGTAATAACGTAGTGGCAGGTTTTTCATTTTTTGCTCAAAGATGAATACAGTTCTTGGCGAGACTTTACGTTAAAACCTGATTTATAAGCTACATAATTTGCGAGAGTCATAGATGTATTAGATAAATCGCATCTAATCATTCAAAGTATCTCGAGCGTGTTAATGTCAACATAACGTTAGCGGACGATGGACGGAGAGGATGCCATTGATGTCGATCCGCGAGAGTTACAGGAGACTCTTCAAACATATAGAAAGCTTGCCGATGATTTTGTAAACCATGACACAATCTTGAAAGTAAGTATTCATTTACGAAGCCTGTACAAAATGTATACTTTTATGGTTTATTTACTATTTATATTGCAGGACAAAACAGTTTTATCTTACATAGCATATGTCTTAGAAGTACCTGACCCAGATATAGTCGTTTTAGCCTTAGACATTCTGGAGATATTTGTTAAAAACGTTGATAATTATATTCACATAACATCTACCTTTGGTGTACGAGAATCCTTAGAGGCTATTATAAATAAGTACAGCTTGAGTGAACCAAAGATAGCCGGTCAAGCGCAACACATCAAAGATGACATAGAGCGCATGAAACCTCCTATATACAACTTACGCAGTCGTTGCAGACGAGTTATAGAGCCCAAAAAGTTGAAGACTCATGTGATGGTTTTACATGTTCAAGGTTTATTACCTGTAAGCATTAATTAATTTATATAAAAAAGAAGTAATAAATTGATTATATAAACTATAATGATTGTGATTATAGGAAACTCGTGCCGAATTGGAAAGAATCTTAATAAGAATTGAAGGTCTCATTTCTCTTGTTGTCGATGTAGAACACCAGCGTGTAACTATGCGTACTTTAAATTATGTCACTGCAAAACAAATTGCAGAAGCAATCGATAAAAACACAGATGCCATGGAAGCAAGATTGGTTACAAGAAATAAATTTAATCAAGAATTTTTAGTAAACTTGGTAAGAATTGTAATTTTTGAATTACTGACTATGTTTTCTATCTTGCTTTTTATATTAGTATAATTTTTATTTGCTAAGCTATACCAATAACTGATATATTTTTATGTATTAAGTATGCAATTATAAAATTCTCACAGATACAAGGCGACAATAGCGATGGCGAAGAAATGCCTGATTATTTGCCCGAAGAGGAAGAAGAAGATGACAAGGAAGGTGTCGTATCGCTATTTACCGGTTTAAAACAAAGCGCTTCATCTTTATATAAATCTACCGCTGAATTTCTAAGTAATTCATTCTATTGGTAGAATTTATGTAATGAAAATTATTCCTTTGTGATTATTGTAGTTACAGTTTTATTTATTCAAAATTAATTGTTCATTTATTTTACCAAAAAATGAACAAAAACAATTTTACGGATTTAAATGATATACACTGCTTCAATAGGTGTACGTTAAAGAGAAAGACTTGATAAACTGTTTTAGTTTAATGTTTATGATGAATCAATTATTATCATTTAAGAATTTTATATTCCTGTCAAAGCGTGTTTATGATAATAATTATAGTAGAATAACATGTTAATTGGTTCTAACAATTAATAATGCCCTATACTCTCATAAATTTAATCTGTATAAAAAGATTTCTAAGTTTTTACACCTATATTTGTAAAAAGAAAATGTATATACGCTTTATGTTATTTACTTGTTTACGTATTTACTTATGTACATAATTAGTTTTTTCTTATTTTTCATATTTCAACAATTATACATGTTTTACATTTAAAATTTTTAACGTGTGACTTGATATACTGCGACCAAAGGATTTTCTTCAAATTCAAATATGCTAATGTAATGTCAATATATTATACATACTAAAGAGATTGCGTGTAAATGAGATTTCAGTGTAGAAATTTGCAATATGTCAAATTAGATATAGGAATTAAATATATATATGACATGGACATTCTCAAGATGTAGTAGTGTATACAATTGTGCGAAGTTTTGATTAAAAGAATTTTAATGTTTAAATCCGCAATAGTTTTCATCGATGTTGTAATGTAAATTGTTTGTTTTTAAGTTTACTCGTGTAACATATTTGTAAATCCATGTTTATCAAATTACCAAGCAATTCTCAACTAAGCGTCAAAACTTTCGTATGCCAATGCCGTCATTAAATTTAACGATCGCTTTTAAACAAAGCTGCATACATTTAAAAATCTTTATCGCTTGTTAGCGATCTATATACGCCACGATACATTCGTTGGATTTGTACAAAGAATGAAATATACGACATCGTGTAAATCAACTTTATTTTTATCTTATATATATAACACAAATTTTGTGTACTGCTTCCATTATTATATAATAATAGAACTAGTCAGTTTTAGCTGCCACTGCACAGAAAGGAACAATTTACGCAACTACTCACATAAGTATGATGGATACAATACGTATGATTACTACAAAAAGTACATCTCTCTATATAATATATCTTATAAATTATTTCGTTCAAATGAGCACATCAAAATCGTTACTCTACTTTATTCTTACTCCACTAAGTTTCCGTTGTATTGTCTATATTTACAGATACAGATGTATATATAATTGTCATTAAGGCAATTTGAGTTTCAAAGCAGGTACAATAGATGGATGCAAAACATCATTTCTTTTCGGCATTTGAGTAAACGTAATAATTCATAAAGATGCGCGAGAGAAAGAGAGAGAGAGGGAGAGAGAGAGAAAGAGAGAGAGACAGAGTTTACAATAATTATTAGTACCGATAATCCGCGGAATGAGTATGAGGTTCGCGTGCAGTCCAGTGCTATTGAGCTTCGTTTTGAAACTCGCGTAATCTGCACCACGTTTGACTATCTTGCGCAATACAACTCACTTCTTAAACTATATATAAATGCTTAGCCCGAAATCAATAAGTACATAGTCACTGTAAACTTATACTCTTTGACCCCTGTTGGCTGTGAAGTAAAAAAAAGAAAAGAATCAAGTTCCTTACGTATGAGCACATATCTCGGAGAGAGATACATGCAACGATACTCTCCCGTGAATAGAGTACAGCTTTTTTAGGAAGGAAATTTTATATTCTTGCACTTTTTCTTGCATTTCGTTTCTCGTCTAACATTTTTTTTTCCCGTGTATATTCATAATATATTATAAATATAAAAGATCATATAAGTACAACAATATCTTCCAATACATGCTTCAAAGACTAAATTGTATATATCACTAATTCTCTAACTTTCACTAGACACTTCAATCGTCGCGGTCGATGCATGCAAATTGCCATAGGCACTTATGTCTTCATAAAATTCGTTATCGTTATGTTGTACATTCTATCCCGTTTTTGACAAGTAATTTATTTGCTCTTTTTTTTTTTTTCTTTTCGTTTCAAGCAAACGCATGTATTCTGCGTTTAAATTGTATGTATATATACATAATATCATTAGCTGGATGCTTTCACAATTGTGATTACTTATAATTGCCTTTCTGTCTCATCAGACATAAACGTACATAAGTAGGGAAATATTTGAACTTGAGAATCTGCTGTCTGTCTCCAAATATGTGTAGAAAACTAATTTCTACGGCAATGGGTATGCTTGAAATTAAATTTGTGACTTGTAAGTGACGTACATACGCTTATTCAGGAACTATCAACGCAAAATATGAGATGCCATGAAAAATAAATAAATAGACGATTTCTCACGTGAAGCACACCGGACACGTCATGTATATAACATTCTCCAATAGTAAATCTAACGAATGCTACGACGTAGATAAAGCTCGGTGGACACAGTGATTCTGAATAATACTAATATAATCGCTGCATTTGCAAATAAAATCCTTCGAAGCAGTATTTAGATTTGTTGGACGAAAATTATACTATGTATAGATCTAAATTCACGATCTCATGCGGCTTTAAAAAAAACTTGTGTGTAACTCAAATAAACTTGAGCAATATTAACATAGTTTTTCACTAACTTATATAAGTGATTTTGAAATCTGATTGGCTTCAATATTCAATTAAGACGTCAAGTCTCGAATTTCCAATTATTTGCTTATGTTTTCTAAATAATACTACATCTTTTTAATATATATATGTATGTATGTATATATGTGTGTGTGTATATATATGATGTATATGGTTGCATATGTGTATATATACATAAATAAGTATATATATATATGTAACTGCATATATATATCGTTATGTATGTGTATATATGAATGTGTATACATGTATATGAATCGATAAATATCTACAATATTCAATGTAAGTTGCAGAATGAAAGATGCTGTAATCACCGAATTTCACTTAGGCAGTAACTCTATCCTACAAATCGTTCATAAATCAAATATAAAAATTATACTAATAAGTAATTTATACTCGGCTCTCTATCTTCATCGCTCCGCTCACTGGTTGAGATGCGATTGTAACCTCACTGACTTCATCCGTTTCCGATTGACTCGATGTGTCAGAAGCATCATCTATTTCCTTTCTCTAAATTTGATAAAACACACGCATCTTTTAATCTTTCTGCATTTCTTATAAAAGATATTGTTATAAAGTTTAATTAACCACCTGCGAAAAACTAGATAAGTCAAAAAAATTAAATTTTGCAAAGTCCACTTTAAAAGTGTAACAAGTGATATATTAGCTTGTACATATCGTTTTCACTATGTGATAAATATAAATGTACAATATTCTTTATTAACAATGTAATGTATATTCCAGTACAAACATATTACTTACTTTCTACAAAACATAATTTACGTTTTTCGCATGTGATATATTTGATCTTGACAAAGCATAATTCTTAAATCAGATTTTATATTATAAAAATAAATGAATTTACTCTACTCACCTTTTGGCATTGTATATTACGAAGAATCCTTTGAACATCTGGATTGCTCTCTAAGGTGGAGGTCTGACTGGACGGAGGATGCGAATATTCAGATGTATTTTCCTCATCAGAAGCTAAGACCCCTTGTATTCTCCCAGATGCTGCTGGTTTGGATCTTCGTAATCTGCAGCCGGGACCGATTGGCTTTCTTGCGATACTATGTAATATTCGCGACAAACGTTTTTTTAATATGATTTGACCATTCAGAGAAGCAGGCATTTAAATACTTCTTAATAATTCTCTTTATTATATACATAAATCAAATGTACCTTCTTCGTCTCAAGGAACAATTGTAAGTATAGTTTGGATCCTCTCCCTCTTCATCTGACCAGCTTTCCTCACAAGCATCATCTTCGCGATCATCTGTATTGTCCGAAGAAATTCGTACTTCAATGTCGGATTGCTCCACATAATGTCCAGACAACTTACTTGAGTCTTCTTTGTTTCTACTGTAAAAATTCCATTTAAATATTAAATTACACGATCATCAAATGTTGATTCTTTAGTAATGCAATTCTACACAACTTTGAAGCATTTTATTTTTAGATATTGCTGTTAAAGCAAAAAATGCGATAAAATAATTCATAAAATTATATTACTTTGACAGTATGAATAGCGATAACGTATTCTGTCTATAAATATATGTAATAAAGCAATGTGTCTTTCGAAACATTTGTTTCAGAATTCGTTGTAAGTTTTAAAATCAAAGTAAATCACACAGAGGATATTATATCTGTACCTGTGGGATATTATGATATCGCCATTTCCATTATCCATGGAAGATACGATAAGACGATTCGCATTCATAATCTCACTGACTTTTCTGCCGAGAGTCTCAAGATTGTCATCATCGCTACAATCCTTTAAACGTTCATTCCCGTTCGTGTTATGTTCATTCATGGGCTCAGGACTAGAGCACGAACTAGTCTGCATCGGATAGTGCGTGTTAGACAAAATTGGATTTCCATTTAAACATTCGATGACTTGTTTACTGAATGAGTGTCTGCTAGTAGCGTTCAAAGAAATGTTTTCATGCGAAGACATTATATTCGGGATGTGGTCCGTTTCGCTGATGCCCATAATATCTGTTTGCGTGTGACTATCCACGAATTTTCCAGATATCTCTATGCTCTATAATTAAAAAGCACAATGTCATGTGTCACACTTACGCCACGTTTATAACATTATCGTTAATTACAATTAACTAATATAAAATAACTAAAAGATCTCTCTTTAAATTTCTTTTAGTTGACTGAAAAATGATATAAATTAATTCATTATGCAATTAAGAACCTTGTCGAATATTCTAATACACACAGCAAATAGCTTTATAGTAAATTTTTAAATAAACATCATCTTTTTGTCAAAGAATTTACTTTAAGTTCATTCAAAAAGTTAAATGTAAACACAAACGTTCATATAAAAGACATTAAGAAAGTCAACAAGTGTCGATCAAAATTATTTTTAATATGCTTAATTTATTTATGATCGATTTCTCACCTTTCTTTCACGATGAGGACTTGATCTAGGACTGGAACTCAGGCCACAACCCGAACCGACTCTATGATGCCTGTATTTGCGCTGCTTGAAACTATTGTTCGGTGCTAAAATAGTTTCCGGTTGATTGGATTCATTCAATTGCGTATACATGGTGACTTTGACAGGGCTTTGCGGTGAATCCGTGGGTGACGGTGGAGTAGTGGGCGTAGAAGAAGTGGAAAACTGCATTGTACCATTCCGTCTCCGATACAGTCTCTCCTGAGCCTTCAATAAAGGACGGACAAGGCGTTTCTTGTACTGTTTATAGCCCGTTGATTGTTGTTCTCTCCTGAAACAAACACGGACATTAATTTCCAAATGTATGGCTTGTATGTAAGCTATCTAATTTACTTCATAACATAAAACAATTATACAAATATCAATTACTGCAGTATCTATGTTTAAAAACAAATATAATGCAATATAATACATTTCTATGACTTTACATAATAATACTTTGCTTACTTTATCACATCTCGTTCGCGTAGCTCTAATTGCAGTAGAATAGCGTTTAATTCCAAGTATAAATTGTTCGTGCGCTCGAGCTTACGCTCATAGTGTTCTCTGACATCTTGAGCCTGCCGTAATTCATCCTTCCTCCGTCGGATTAGGTCTTCTGGATTGGTGTTAGTAAATAGTGGTATCTTTTGCATGCGTTCCTGTATTTCCCTCTTCCAAGTTTGCTGCAACAGAGAGAACTTTACTATCATCTTTCCATGTACTTTGATTAGTAATTAAATAAATTGGCATCGAGAGAAAAGAGAAAAATATTTATGACCACCGTTTAAAAACACCGTTTTCTTTCCTTCCAAATTTGATTCTTATTACAGACTTTGTCGTAATAGCCAAAGGAACATAAAAAGGAACTTTTCGTATTTAAAAGACAGTGAATTACTATTCTTATCTATTCAAGCATTTCGCACACATAAATTTACCACCAGAACAATTATTACCTGTGCCTTAAAGTAATCATCAGGTTCCGTAGAAAGTACATCAACAGCTGCAATGGCAAGGTGCATTTCGATAAGCTTGAAGGAGGGCCTGTTACGTGGTTTAGCTGCCCAACATTGCTTGACTAGTAATCCGTAACCTTCGGGGCAACTAGTGGGTATCGGTAAATGAAGAGAATTGCTGCCAACTCCCCACATTACAGCAGAGGAATCGACGTCCTTGTAAGGTATCTCACCGCTCAGTAATTCCCACAATACAACACCGTACGACCATATGTCCACCTTTTCCGAGCATGGTTCATTCCTGATCACCTCCGGCGCCATCCATGCTACCGTGCCGGCGAAAGTCATCTTCGTACTAACTTCATTCCACTGTCTACTCGTGCCAAAATCGCTAATCTTCACCACTTCCCTTTGCCCGATTAGAACGCTACAAGTATAATTTTTTATTGTTCCACAGCATTACGGGAGTATTGTTGAATCTATCTTGTTTACAGGAGATAATTTGCCAATTAAATTATACAACGTTTATATTATACAACATGTCTCATATATCTATCAAACTATTTTTCATTTTTAGCCACTTCTAAAGCTTGATATTTATTCCAAATCACTTGTAATTTAAAAAAAATATTGACCAAAGAAAAATTGTCTTCAAATTTGTCCAAAAAACAAAACTTAATAGATTAAAGTGGCTTAATAAGTAAAAAAAGACAACTGCAACTTTTATAAGTTCGATAAAATTCCATATTATCATTTCATTGTTTACTTACTTTGGACTTTTCAGATCTCTGTGTATGATTTTGTGGGCATGGAGATAACCCATTCCTGCAGCAATTTGTTTTGACCATGACACCAATCTGGCGGGAGGAACCGGTTCTCCAGCTCTCAGAAGGTCGTACAATGGTCCAAACGGACACAACTCCATTATTATGCAAAAGCAAGGGGGTTGTGAACAAACTCCTCTGTAAAAATTAAACAATAAGTATTTTATAACGCGTGACTTACGTCGTAATATTATATGCAGGAGAAATAGCGAGCGTTATACTTGAATTGTACGATGTTCGGATGATTGAGCTTTCGTAAATGGCGTATGTCAGTCTCTTTTGGATCTTTCACCTTTTTTACAGCCACAACTTCGTTATTTAACTTTCCTCTAAATACTGCACCTTGAGCCCCGGATGCGAGCCACTGCATCTCGCTGATGTCATTAAAATCTATCTCCCAATCATCTGCTAAAATGCAGGCCGTATTAATCAGCATATTAAGTGTATTCATTAATATTTCAAATGTTCGGAGTAAAAATAAATCTTATGCATAACTCATAGGTTTTTTAACTTTTTTAAACTTAAATTAAGAAGTTGGTTTAATGTGGTTAAAGAAAAATAGTCTCCAAATTTCTCACAAAGAATACTTAGTAAATTTTAATAAGTCTACAAAAAAAGAATGATGTAAATTTAATCTATTCTTACATCAAACGTTTCTGGAGAATATTCACAACGAATGAGTACGACTCATCTCTACTGGATATAAAATACAAAATTTTATTTTTATCAAATGTATAAATTTTTTTTACCGACTGCAACTTAATTAAGAAAAGAAAGAAGGAATGAGTGAAAAAGCCAACATAAGAAACGGAGACTTACATGACTTACTTGAGAGAATCTTAATTTTTTCGTTAATAGCAGCCTTCGATAACATAGTCCAAACAGGACGCATACATCCTAGTATGCCGTCGACCCAACTCGATCGAGAATCGATGCTTTCCGATCCGAGAGGGCATTTTATCGCAGTATCACTGGAGTTACTTGCAGAATTAGGTTGGTTGCTATTGGGCAATTGATTTTGAACCTCCTGCAATTCCGTGATTAGCTTTTCGGGATTTCCTGCGATTTCATTTAGCTGAGCCAACTCCTCTTGGATGCATAACATGCTGAAAATTTATAATGTTTTATTAGAAATTTATATATATTTTCCTTCTTTATTATATTATATTTAATTTTTTTTTTTTTTTTTAAATATAATTTTGTCCTCTATTTCTTTAATAAAACAAATTTTAAATTATTTAGTGATAAAATAGAAAGAGTTTTATATTTTGTAATTATAATACGTTTTTCAAAATATATTGCAAATGAATAATCAACCTAAGAAAAAAAATGTTATCTTGATATAAGTTACATAGAACCCGCGTACTAAAAAAAGAGGTATATCAATCACACGTAATTTTATCTTTGTTCAGTCTGATGAACGATAAGAAACGACGTATACAACGTCACGCTATATCAATCGGCTGATTGTATATATAGACTGACACTAATATTCAACACGTTTGTTGTTCTTTGGTATATATATGATCAGTTCAATTTATGCGTAATTAAAACTGCCTTTTGAATTATCTATGCAAGATACAAATATTAATACTTATGTAAAAAAACTTCAATAGGAAAAGGACTCCGTCCTGATTTTAATTTTAAGTAAACAAAATAGTTAACATACATTATTCTTAATAAGAAAGAATACATTATCTATTTAGGAATACGCAATATGTATAAGAAGTTTCTATAAATTTTTAAGCCTTTGTTCCAACTTACTCTTTCAGAACTTAGATATTTATCTAGATAATCTCCTTACTGAAAAATGTACTATTAAAACATTACAACAAATGATAAGGTTATTCAAAACATTTTCCTAATGATCGGTATTTTATTACTATGACAAAATATTTATTTTCAAGATTAAGATCAATAAAACATTCTGTATAATCAAACGCATTGATAGCGCGCTCACATCGCAGACTTGAAATCACGCCCACTGTAATTTCGATTAATACGTTACAATTTTTCCATACTCATCGCAGAGATTCACAATACCGGTTCCGATAATATCGTATAGTATTATCGGGCGTTTCGTTATTCGTTATGCGATCGCGACAGACCATTGAGCGGACAGCAATGTGGTATGCAATGCGGATATCGATCGTGCTCTTTACACGCGACTATATTGCAGGTAGCATTTTCCTAAATTTAGCTCTTAACTGATAGTACTAGCAGTCACGCTCTACTAACAGTAAGTTTTCTAGCGTCCCCCGAACAATAAGTTTTCCAGCGCCCTCACGAAGAGACCTTTGCACTTTGAAAAAAACTGAGTTATTGAAATATATGGATTATTGTATTTAAAGAAAAAGACCTATGTAAAAAATTCTTTCTTTCAATATTCACATATTCCGAGTGTTATATTTTCGCTACAATGTAAAAAAGCAATGTATATTACACCAAAAAATAGAAGTATAATATAAATACAACCCATTTGTATAAAAATTTGTCATTTGAATCGTTAGTAATAATAAAGATAAATTATCAAAAAAGAAAGAATATTTTACGATATTATTTTGTAAGAATGTTCAACCAGAAACAGTCCAATAGCAATTCAATCACGAATAGCATTTCTGCACGCAAATTACAAATAATATGTATTTGTCGGTTGCTAATGAAATCGCGGAGCTATTAAAATGCAAATTGCATTTAATAGAAGGATAATGCGAAATATTGTTAATTTAATACGAGTAAGGTATTTTGTAAAGCATTTTGTAAACTGTAGCAGTTAACTGACATTAGAATGCGGTAATATGGTACGGTATCAAATTCAGCCAGACGGCACTTCAGGAAAAGAATTCTTTTTTTTTTTAATTTGTCTCTGATAAGTATAACCTTGCACAAAATAATAATTATAAAGCAATATTTCAAACATACACGTTTGAATGCTCATTGTACATTGAGTTCTCATAAATGCACCATTTACTAATATTTTTTTATTCATATTAAAATATCGATAAAATATTTAGCGAACGCTTATCAACCCTGAAATATTTCTGTCGATGACAAACATACGTAAAGATCAAAATTTCAATTACTGTTAGACGACAGAATTTTACTAATTATATTTAATTTGTCGGAACATTTTTGAGTTTATTACAATTTTTTACAACTGTAAAATGAACTCGTTTTAGCGACACGATATATTCTTGTAATATTCTTGTAATGTGAGTCATGACATGACATGTAAAATGGAGGGAATTATATGCGCGTGCGAAAGGAATTGCATAAACAAACTGAGGTTTTGTTTCCACTAGTTATCAGCTGTTACTTTGATTGATAATCGATGCAGCATAACGAAGCACACATACCACAAGAATGTCTAATGCACGGCAGTTTTATCAAAAAACGTAAGTGATACTCGATACGGTAATCGGTAACAGAATGGGTTGTCCATTGCAATATGAAAAAAAAATCAAAGGAGTGCGGATAAACTGTCTGTATTTTTACACCGCGTTATCACGCTGCGTGCTCAATCGATGACAATGCCGCTTGCTGTACTAATCGTGAAATGCTAGTCGTATTTTTTATACATTAATACTATCTCGAATAAAAATTTTATTTAAATTTAAAAGTTTTGATTTTAAACTCTCTGGAAGAAAATGTAACGATTACAGATAAAAGATAAAATTAAGTAAGATTGAAAGAAAAAAATAACTTTCAGGACAATTATATATATATATATATATATATATAATGACTTCATGATTTTTAAATATAAAGTGTATTTTTGAACATAATGAATTAGCCAACCTACGAAAATATTTCGAATTCCAAGTTTAATGACCATCTAGTAAACAAAATTAAAACAATGATGAAAAATTACTTTCTTTTTTTCAAATGATTTTTTTTTCATATTAATTACTCTTTTATCGATTACCTGAAATACATCCCTGAAATGGGATAAAAATACTATTGTATTAATCTTTAATTTTTCATTCGTTGCATATGTAACAAGAGTTACAAGATAAAATTCAAACTCTACAATCTGAGAGATCCGTTACTTATATATTCCTTTTTTGAACACATTCAAACGTATGCTCACGCTAAAATAGCCCCGTAAAAGATATATTTCCATTTAAGGGAGTGAAAGCGACCTTGAAGTCACAGATGACAGTGGCCTTAAGAAAAGATTACGGCGGTCGTCCGGTTACGAGATAAAACGATTGTCTCCGTAACGATGGTCTCTTTCTATCCTTGTGAATATGCAAGAAGCCGATTGAATAATTAACACTTGTATGCACGAGAAACTAATGCGCTTGCATAGCGAAGAAATTGAGTAAACGCGTAGTACGCGCATGCACGCTCACCGTGGCCTTCGTATCAGCTGTCCGCTGGCGTCACTCTCAATGAGAGAACCCGTGCTCGTTGTCGTAAACAATATTCCCGACCGACGGATTGACAGATTCCACCACGTTTATCACATATAAATTTCAACTACCTACATAGAGAGAATCTTATATACAAATAATATGATATTTGACAGAGCATTTCAGTTTTTTTGGAGATTTAATTTGAGATCATTGGCTGCTATTCAATGTTATTGTAATGATCTTGCTTTTTTAATTTTGTATTACTGCAAGCAGTTCATCGATTTATGAAGTGTTATCTTTAATTAATTATTTCATGGTATAACTCAGGTAACTCTGTGATTAAGGATTAAGCACGCCACGCAATGATAACGTCATCGGCGAAGAAATCCAAGCGGTCTATCCATTTCTTCGATATCATTTCTTCTTAATCAATACAACAAAAGCGTGACATTCTAAATTAATAGCATAAAAGACAAAGGAGCAGAGAAGATACTTAAGATGCAATAAAAGAAAACTTTAAAATCTCTCAGAAAAATTTTATCTAAAGTACGTACATTAGGCATATGTAATCCTCGAGATTAGAAATTTTATGGACAATTGAGTCTGAAAGCTTGTGAATATCCTTTCTTTCACAGATGTTCCTTCAAACAAAAGATACAGAAAAAAACTCCAGGCTGAGATTTGAGCGTTTATGCTCTAGATAAGTCAAAGGGACAGTGGAGATCTATATAAAAGTAACTGACAAACGCGAGCAAACGCCAGCCCGAAATCTTGTCGCTCGAGACAGCCGATAAATCGAAAATCGGATGCGAGAAGAGAACGTAATCGGAGCCGTCGACTCCGTTGACGGTGTGCAGCGATCTGATGCCGTTATCGGAGCACGTTCCGGAGTGCCACTCGGCTGGGCGAGTTTTCGCGCCTCGCGCCGCAGGAATTCTCGCTCACCTCTTCCTCGTAGCGCTGGGTACCTCGTCTGGTACATCGCTGGGTGCCATCACGACGCCGATGGCAACGTCGCCGACCGCGGCGTCATCGTTCTGCGTCGCTGGCTTCTTGAGGAAGAATCGCGCGAGGACCATCGTGTGTCGCGTATAGCATATGGACGTGACGAGAACACTGCACCGCGACAATCCAACGGCACGGATGTCGTCGTCGTCGCGTCACACCGCCGACCGAATGTTTTTAAGGCGACGGAACTTGCAGCGACACGCACACGTGAAATGTATCTCACCAACTGGCACTTGCTTGGCGCGCGTGAACGAGCCGAGACTCGAGACTGTATGGAGAGGGTCAAGAGAGTCGACTTTATCGCTGCTTTATCTCTTTCTCATTCCATTTTCTTCTCTCTGCTTTCCGTTCGACTTCTCTGTTGTTCCAATGTCGCCGTTACACGCTATATTATGCTGCTACGGTGCTCGTTTTCGCCCGATCGCGACGCAATATGCGTGAGAATAGATAACGTGACGCGCGCTGTTTTGAATTTACACATCAGAAGCATGATGCGAGAATACAGAATGTAATCAGAACCGATTTTCGTTCGCCACACGTCGGTATGTAATATCAGTCGTTGTACGTTGAAACGATGATCTTTGTACCAATTATTAAATAATACAGTTCTTAACGTGTCGCTATTAACGTCATTGACAGTTTGTAAATATAACCAGACGTATAATCCTCAGTTTATCTAATTTTATCTAAATTCAAGTTTAAATTTGCACTTTTTATAATTATTTTCATTAAATACTGTCATCGTGTACGTAATATTGATACATAATATTTTGCATAAGAAAGCAAGCTTCGGGCAAGCTTTGTTTCTCATAAATATTGAAAATGAACGAAGTGGCTACGTAATATATTATATAAATTCTTTTTTCTTATCTATATCTTTTTATGGACAATTTTCGATTTGAAAGAAAAATTTTGGGATTTTAAGGCGAAAATTGCTAATAAAGGAAAAAGTACCTGTTAGTAAATATATGAGCCTCTGGATGTGGAGACGAAAGAATCACGCCATTTACGTCTGCAGACGTCTCCGCTTCTTCGCTTTTTATAATATTCTTCGCTAAGTTATACATTTCGGGTATAGCCAAGACCTCGGTTTCAGCAGGGGTGCGCATTCTCGCTTTTATCGTGTCAGCCTAACTTGCTGCATCTGAAAAGATTACATTATCTTTAGCAACTATCCTTAACAATACAATTATCAACAATATCTGTCGCGTAAGTATTATTGTACCAAAAATCATATAAAAACACGAGTTTTTTTTTTTTTACTTTTATCTTTAGCAAACGTTTTTGTGTAAATATAAGTTATGAAAATGAAGCTATCTAGTTTATGAGACTACATTGCTAATAACAATAATAGAAAAATTTTGTTATAACTTATCGCGAGATTATGTAAATTCTTATCTAAATTGCTCCTCGATAACGTGCAATTTTAAACCTTGATCTCAGAATAAACTATCCACTCTTTTTTCTTTCTTTTAAAAGTTTAATTTGCAAAAAAAAGAACAATTCTGTTTCTATTTTATTATATAATTTTATTTGATAAATGTGTTAACATGTAAATGGTACAAAAATAAATGCTAATATTTTTAAAGAGTTAATGATGAATTTTTTCAGGATCTCTATTGATCAATTTTACCGATTATTTCATCAAGCGCTTATATCGCAGTATGTTAAGAATTGTCTTCGCGCAGCATCAAGGGTTCAATGGAATGCCGATCTAGTAAGAGGTATGGTATTTGAGCGTCCGCATACCGAACTTATAGCATTCGTTTTATTTTATCTTATACGCAGATTCTTTGGGCCCTGCGTTCACTTAACCCTGTTATTTGCGCATTTTTTCTGATAATTATAGCAGCTTCCTCGAAGTAATAAAGAGTTATACGAAGCTAAAGTGAATGGTTTAAATTTATCTTAAAATGAATCAAATATTCAATTAAGATTTAAACTTTAAATTTAAAAAAAAATTAAAATTAATGTAATTTTAAAGAATACGAATAAACAATCCATGTTCAAATAATTAACAAATAAAAATGTTCAAAATGTTTAAACAAACGTTAACAAAAATTCGACAAAAGTAGTCTATTTCTGTTTGCTTCTTGCAATGTATTACTTAATTTTGCTAGTTTGTCTGAATTCAAAATCAAACTGTGTTCAAATATTGAAATTAATATAAATTAAAAATTATAAGGCTAAAAGAATCTTTATATCCTTTTCAGATTTATAAGTTATTAATAATGTATAAACGGAGAATGAATTGTACATATGATATTCACTCTACGAACATCCCTTATACGAAGGGTGAAGGAAACTCCTCAACAATGAGTCATGCGTAGGTGTGCCCCGGTTTAATCCTGCGCACCTGGATCGAAGTCTTGTAAAGTTACTTGAACCCGGCAACCCTTAAAACCGCGTAATCAACTGTGGCATACAAATATCCGCAATAATGGCATTTCCAAAATTTCCAAAATTTGTTTCTGCTTTCTAAATTATATTACTTTTTTATGTTTTATTCAAAATTTCTAGCTGTTTATCTAATCAAATCATAGGTACAGATTTCAAAACACTTAACAAAAATCTATAAAGCTTTTGAATAAAAGATTTAAATCTACATGACGTCAGTGTTGTACTATTCCGACACAGTAAACACAGTATTCTGAAGCAATTGCCAGTTTCATTTGAGATGTATGAATTTTAACGAAAGGGATATATACCCTCCGTTCTAATTCCAAGCACCCTGCACATGTAAATTGCGACTTCGATCAGATATAAACTCACATGCAGCCATCTGACAGAAATAGCAGCGAATGGTAGCATCACATATGTCAGTCCGTTACTCATATGACTTGTGTGCAATATACATTGTATTGTACTTCCTAAAATAACAAAGGAATGTCAGTTTTTCTCTTATCTATTACATTAATGATAACAAATAACGATAAATAAGTATACTAAATTTCTTTCTTTAACAAAATACTCTATTAATCAATAAAAAATTATAAAATATATGAAGAATGTAGGCGCAAAAAATGGCCCAATTTCACGTCAAAAGCATTTTGAGAATCACTGACTACCTACGTGGACACACATAATACACATAATACACATAATGCAAAGCTTTATAATATCCGCTTAACATCCCACGGACTGAAAACGGGATAAATAATCGGCTGCACATTTTCAGAAAAAGAGATTTACTCCGAACCAACCGAAAGAAAAGATCTGCATGATTTCTTTTATGTCAAAGATCAAGATTTCGTATTGAAAAGTTTCCGCACCTGATGTCGCCGAACCTACTTTTTCCACTCTGCCATATAATTGCGTTTTACGGATAGTACGACGTGACAACGGTCCGAGAGCCACTGGTAAAGAATTGCATGGATTGTGCGAGTTGACTTGCGCACACAAGCCCAAGCTATCTCTTTGGGGCTGAACCTAGGCAGCCCCTTAGGGACAAACGTAACAAGGGTGGAGAAGATAAAAATCCATTTTCAACGTCGTTAAATGGTTATAACGTTGCAAACTCCAGATCTGCCTATCAAAGCCGTTTTTTTATGTTATTCGCGCAAACTATTCGCCAGTTTGTAACTACGATTTTTCATCGACCAAGCAAGAAGATTCTATTTGCTATGTTATATATAATTACGTCTCGAACAATCTGTGTACAGAAAGTAATCTTGATTAAATTTCACACTTATTTTTATAATATGACATTCGAATATTGTTACGCGACATAGAAATGTAAAAAATCTGAGCGTAAACTAACGACTATATATTTGCAGTCAGATGCTTCAAATTTGCAAACAAAAGGAAAAAGGGGTGAAATAAAAATATATAGCCAAGCGTATTCGGAGATTGCTTTCGGTGTTTCTTTCGCGTGCAATATCGATCGCACGAAGTCGCCATATCATGAATGAAACCTCTCACCCCTCGGGGCTCATAAATAAACACGGCGTGAAGCCGAATCTTTAAAAGACAGCTCGCGTACGCTTCTACTACGCATCCTGGCATTGAAATCACCGATAATAGCCAGTGATCACTGATTGTGGTCAGTGATCACAATGCTATTCGCGATATCCCACGATCAACTATTTATTAACAAATCGATTTTCCGAAAATAACTCTAGGAATACCAAGTTATTATTAGCTATATTCATTATAGAGACTGTTTCTTATAACTCCGTTTTCACTATTTTTAACTTATTCTTATGTTAATGTTATGTGAATTATATAGTAATTATCTGATAATAATTGTAATATCTGTAATAGTATATTATAAATTTTGGATAAATTTATGTATACTCTTATTATATTTGAAACAAAAAAGATAAAAGAAATGACCAAAGATGACACAAATTTGGGATAGCTTAATGTCTATGCAAGTCTTCGAAACGTTACATAATTGTTTATAACAATACATTGTGTCAATTATTCAATGTGTCAATCGTTTTAGAAAAATAAATTTTTCTTTGTTATACATATGTGAGAATGCTTTGTCCAAATTATGCTACTTATTGTATACAAAATTCCACGAAAAATTTATTCTTTTTTCGAAAAGGAGTGCAAACATTGTTTTTGAGTTTTAATTTAACTTAATACACTTCCAGTTTTGTTTCAAGAACAAAGTAATAGGAATTTTTTCAGAGTTTTCAAAAAATCTATTTTGTGTAATTCCAGCATATCGCATAATTTTCTCATCATTTACGAATCGCATTGCGAGATCGCTCCGATGCCAGCCGCTGGAACGAGCGTCTTTTTACATTAAACGGCGGATCCTTTCGTCCAAAGTGCGCTTTGTGCATTTTTTCCGTGAACACGGTTGCCTGCATTAATGCGCACCGGTGCGCAGCAAAGGCCGTCGCACACAAATTGACTGAAAAGCAAATGTATAACACATAAAAGCGAATGAAATGCTCCTTTGCGAATCGAGGCGAAGCGATCGCGGCGGCGAGGTGAGCTTTCACTTTTGCACAAGCGAGCGAGTGTTCATCCGCCGTCGCTGTTTTGTACCTGACAAAAGGACACTCGGCGAGCCGCAAAGCTCTTCTCGCGAGGATGGGGATGAGTGCGCGCTGATTCCTCTTCCGTAAAAAAAGGGAATCGAGAAGGATGGACGGCAAGAGAGACGCCACACGCTTTTATCGATCAGAGCGGCGCACTACCCTGTCAATGCTCACCTGAACGCTACTGTTCTCCGCTGTGACGACGGAATCGAGATTGCCGCCGTTGCCATTCAACTCTTTTGTCGATCGTCCTTCCCGAGTGTCGAGTGTCGAGTGTCGTCGCGACGCTACATCCACTGTTGCAGCTCGCCGCAATTGTCCGAGAAGGCAGTCCTCTTCGCTGCGCGGGACGTTGTCACCACGAACTGAGAAAGCACGCAATACATATTACACCCGTCTCGAATGGAGCACGACGAGCGCTCGCTCGCCCGTACGCGCGCTCGTATTATCGCACCGCACAATTCTGATTTTACTCGGCTTGTTCGACGAACCACCCTACAGCGATAGCACCCCGACGCGCGACGCGTTCGACGGACACTGAACAAAATGGCGCGCGTGATTATCCCGCAACTCTGACACCAGAGCGCGCCGTGGGGAACAGGTTGAGGAGAAAAGTTGGATGTGCGGTGCGAGACGCCGTCAGCAAATCTCCGTCTCTAATTCGACGTCACATCGCTGACGCATGAAACGAGGAGAATAGAGAACGACGGTAGAAAACAAACGAACAGGTTCTTTTATGATCAAACTTCCCGAAACCTCTTTGATATTCAAGCCGCATCGGTGGAGATGTGGCTACAAGAGAATCTAGTTGAAATGCTCCGAAAATATTTATGCAATAAAAAAATTAAAAAATAAAGATTAAACTTACCATTTCTTGTCTCTTAATCTATCATTCTCTTGAAATATTTTCTCTTATTTATGGTTTTTATATTTCTGCGACTTTGCAATTTGGCCATTGAATTTTTTAATTTATAAATGTGGGAAAAGTCAAAAATCAATCATATTTTCCTAATTAACTTCCAGAAACTACTAAAACAAAAATATTTATAGAAAGTAGCAAATTAAAAGATTAGAAACGATAAACTTAATTGTTATCCTTTAATTTTATTAACACTTTCGCGACCGTTATATAAAATCCGACATTTCACATTACACTTAATACATTGATGCAAAAGACAGTAAAACTACGTGACCGACACCTGGCTTATACCAAAATATAAACGTAAAAATACGTGAGCGGTTGCGAAAATGTTAATGTTAAATTTATTTACATGTAAAAAAAGGTAAACAATTCAAAGAATTTTGCTAAAATACATACATAATTTCTCTCTATTCACCCAAAAATAACCAGAGTACATTTCAGAATATGCGAGATTGTGTATATTCTGGAATCAGCTCATTCGCCGAGATTCCCTCGTTCGATTATTCCTTGGATTGTTTCCCAGTTGGCGCGGGAGGAGAGCAGCAGTTCCTAGAAACATTTCCTTCTTTTCCAAGAAGAGGGGTGATTGGGCTTTTGATTTTACGTCTATCACTGAGAGACGCGCGCACATTACGCAGAGAAAGAGAGAGAAGGCATTTCGTTTCTTTAATATACACATACAGATGTATGGATTTCTGTCCCAGCAGGGATGCAGTTGCGCAAGTTCTGAAAACACGTCATAACTGAGAAATCAGATACACACTACGTCGATGTAATTTGTCTCATCTCGCTTTTCTCCGCGGTAAGCATCATCCGTTCATTCCTTCGTTCGTTCTATGATTACCCCCTCCGTTTCTTACCCTCTTTTTTCTCCTTCCTTCTCTTACATGAAAGCCTGTTTCATGTGTCTGTAGCCGCAGCTTGGTCGATTCCCAAGTGACGTCACGATTCGCCCATCCCTCTTCATCTTGTAATAATACGGTGATATACAAGGTTTCGCGTAAGCGCCTACGCAATACCCGGAAAAAGCAAGAAAAACGTGGAGAGAATGGATTCAAAAATAACCTTCCATCTGACAAATAGAGGGATATAAATCCAAATATTTATTTTCAAGAAAGAATTGTGAAGACGCAGAATTTTTGCGCACTTTTAAAATAAATTAAATAATTTTTATTTTGAATTAAATAAATTAATTTAAAATTATGAATCAATATTAATAAATGTAAAATTTTTATATAGTATTTTTATTTAAAAAGAATTTTTACTTCAAAAAATCCGTATTATTTATGTAAAACCACAGATTTTTTTGTAATTAAGTATTGTCTCTGTGCTGTACCGTGCTCAAATAATATGAATTTTAAAGCTGTATTTTATTTTGTAACTAAAAAATAGCTCGTTTTTTAAAATATAATTATACAAATATTTCAAATTGATTTTGGATTTATTCCCTTCATCTTCAAGATTGAAATACATAAGATTTATATTTTTAAGCAAAAATTCTTACTTACAAAAATGATATATAAGAAAACTTAGTTTCCATTATCGTTCTTCAAGCTTTTATATTCCTGCACTACATTCTCAACTTTTGCAAAAGCACGCAGGAAATCATCTTCCTCCAGACCAAACTGTTTATACTGATGCAAAAAAGCTGCACATTTATAAGAATTCCATGCTTTGTCTGCGTAAACATCCAATGGTTTATGTATCTCCGAATTGTTAGTGACTAATGCCAAGAACTTATCTCGATTCAGAAACCTGCGTTCCTGATGCATATGAGTGAATGAATCCAGTGTAATCCACTCTGGATATAGATGTCTTTCTTGCAAATCTTCCAATGCTACAACATCATTCTCCATAGATCTGCCACGTGTTACAAGAACATTGGACACACAAGGACTGTATGTATGAGACACTGTTGTTTTGCTTAATATAGGATTTGGTACTTTTAATTGGATGTTTGTTAATTCCATTTGTGACTTTGATATACGAAGAGTCTGTTTCAAATGACGTATATACACATTCCATTTGTATGTAGATTCATATTGTAAGGATGTTTCAGAAGCATGAGGAGTACTTTTGACTGTTACAAATCTAAAATTTGGATGTGCAGCTACTTTGGATACTAAAAAATTCACATCATGTCTTGCATTATTGATAGGTTGAAAAGCAGCAAGCAGATTCTCAGAGATGATGCTATTCATGTCACATAACATGATGTTAGGATTCTTCAATAAATTGGTGCATATAGCATGCATCTGCTCGTTTTCAAATAACACAGAGAGATCTGCTCTGTCAGAAAACTTAGCTAATGTCAATATAGTATTGTAGTTCTGAGTACAAACTTCTCCAAAGGTGAATGGTAACACCATTGTAGCAACAATAGGCTTGGTTTTATACTCCTCACGCAGAAGTTCAACCATGTGGCTGCCAATACCGGATCCTGTACCCCCGGCCGAACTGAGAAGCAAGAAAAATCCTTGGAATCGATCCAATTTCTCAATCTCTCGTCGCGTAACATCCAATATAATATTTGACAATCGTTGACCATTTATTTTGTAGCCATACGCCCAATTGTTGGCAGAACCACCGCCAGACTGGCAAATAACGTTACTTGTTCGGTACATCCAAGATGCATTCGTATTCTTACATATCTTGTTGACGACTTTCTCTTCGGTGTCGACGAGAATCGCCCTTGCCAAATGCTGACCGCCTTTCGTGATTCCGTCGAACCATTTCTCGATTGTGTTTTCCGTGTACTCGTAATTGGCAGAATAAGAAACGCCAGTATTTGGACTTTTCAGATCAGCACATACCTTCGAGAATAAATCGTATCCCAATTGATTTCCGCATTGCCCAAACTGTATCGTGAGCATTTTCGTCCTTTTTTTGTATTTTGAATGATCTTATGTCATTGATACAGAAACTTTCTTACGTTTCGTTAAATATATCTCAGATGTACTATAAAACAGCTTTAGGTTTAGAATATACCTGCAATAATTACAATATGTTATTTATCGAAAAAAAATATTCAAGTTACATTTGAATGCAAAGCAAGTAACCTTGAAATTTCCAGCGCGCCATTGTTTCCCGCCAGAATTGCATATGTCGATTTAACTGCATCCTGCACTTTAAAATAAAATATATATTTATTCATACTTTGAGAGGCAAAAAAAAACAAAACAACGTATGAAGAATATAACTTAAACGAGAATTAGATTTGTTTATATCTTAAACATTTTCTATATCATTTACGGTTAAATTAATATATACAGGCATAAACCCGTTCTTTGTAGTTGCACTTTTGTAGCTGTAGCTGTACTGTTTCTTGACTAGTGAAACTAACCTAAATAAAAAGTTCACTTAATCCCATTTAATTACCATGTTGAAACAAAACTTTATCATCAAGCTTAATACCCAACATAAATCTGTCTACAACTCACATTTATACAGAGACTGTTCGCACAATATCAGCAGTATGTTGTTTCATGTTTAAACTTTATATGGTAAATGAGGTTAACAAGAACCTGCATTGTTAATTGTATTATTTGTCAACAGGATTTCTATATTTGCACTAAAAAATTGAGCGCAACAGTAAAAATTACAACGTGATAGATAGATTTTGCTGACTTACCATTAATTGCAAATCACTAATTTGCAATGTACAATAGGATAAGCGTACGTCTGCAGAAGATACTCTTGTGCGTATTCGTAGTGATCTTCATCATCGTTTATTTATGTACAAATCAGCGTGCGAATGACAAGGATGTATCCTTAAAACAGCTTCTCGCCGCCGCGATAAGAGCGGCGGAAATTGGCGGATTTCAAGTGGTGACAGTACATGATCAGATTAAATTTAAAATTGAAAGTAAAGGTCAAACGAAGGAAGGTAGGTACATTAATATTTAATGTGTATTAACTATTAAATAATAAAATGTTTTTCTTCTGTGTGCTTAAAGGAGTGGATGACCCAGTAACCGCAGCTGATTACAGATCCCATTGTGCAATGTATGGTTCTTTAGTCCAGGCATTTCCAGGAATTACTGTGATATCTGAGGAAGCATCGCAAGATTGCGACAAGATAGTAGTAGAAGACATTAAGAAATCTATTAAAAGTATTGATGGTTATGACATAAATGATGACATTGTAAACATTTATGATGTTACAATTTGGATAGATCCTCTTGACGCTACTAAAGAATTCACAGGTAATAATATATTTTGATAATAACCCAGTATTTTAATGAAAGTAAATTATAAATAAATTTGCAGGTAATTTGTAGCAAAAATTATTTTTAAGGTGGCTGATGCTGTCTACTTTTATGCATATTTATGTTACAATCAACATTTTAAATTCTATAGGAAGAATTTTTAAAAAATGAGAAAAATATATTTTTTATAAGTGCAATTTGGAAGCAATTAATATTTTTACATTTGTTTATGATTAAATATTAAAAACGCACTGGTTTTTAGGATAAAATAATAAAAATAAATTTTGACACATGATATACAGATAATTACTTCAGTTCTGTGAAGATCATGAAGATCATGTTAATCTCAGATATATATATAAAGCACAAAATTGTGTGTAAAGCTTATTCTTTAAATAATTTAATATGTAAGCATAAGAATTTGATACAAAATTCTAAATTTCTTCATAAATATATATAAAGTTTATACAAGATATTTCAAACTTGCTAAATGTTCTTTTTTCAGTCATTAGAAAGTTTTTGCTAAGCAAACATAGGCTTGAACTTCAATAATGAAATTTTGTAGCTGAAAGGATATTTAAAGATTCTTGGACACTATTTTTTAGTTTGAAAAAATGTTTTAGAAATTTTAACAATTTTTACATGCTATCTTATGTTTAATTTTTAGAGAATTTATTACAATATGTATCCACTATGGTGTGTGTAGCTGTGAAAGGACAACCAATTATTGGTGTTATATATAAACCATTTGAGACAAGACAAAATCATAGTTTATATTGGGCGTGGGCTAATCATGGTACATCAAAAAATTTGAAAAATTTGCCCAAAATGAAGGATAGTGAAACGCCTATTCTGATTGTATCTCTTTCACATGCTGGAGAAATCACAAATGCATCTAAAGTTGCATTCGGCAATAACGTTGAAATTATTTCTGCTGGTGGTGCAGGATATAAATTCTTAGAGGTAGCTGTTGGTAATACGACAGCATACGCTCATGCAACTGCTATCAAGAAATGGGATATTTGTGCAGGAACAGCAATTCTTAGGTATTTAAGTATTTTGATTATTATTACATATTTCTCTGGTCTTATTATTTAACTACTCCTTACTTTTTAATAGAGCTTTAGGGGGAACAGTAGCACAGTTGTATGATCGACAAACAATCCATTTTGGAGCTGACAGTTCTAAAGTACTTACAAAGGGTCTTTTTGGCGACTATGAGTGATTCTGTAAGTGATTATGTCGTATTCCGAAAAAATATTTAAATAAATTTTTATAATTTTTATCAATTAGTAATATAATATACGAAGCAAGACATGATATTTTTAATATATTAAATATATATTAAATAATTAATATAATTAATATATTAATATCCAATATATTAATGTCTATCTGTAAAAAGGACAAATTTTAATTAAAGGATGTCTTTAAATGTTTTAGGTCGAGCAATTAATATCAAGATATGCTAATACACAATAACATCACATATCTTCCAGTAGATTTTGTCATCGTTAACTATTTATTATAAGAAGTGTATTTCTTGTAGCTGTGTAACTACCGTATAGATTTTTTATACAATAAATTATAAGTTATACAATAGCCATTCATAGCGTTGTAGATTAAAAATTTGTTTTATATTTTGTATACCTAATCACAATCTAGAGAAAATCAGAGTAAGTGAATTGCATAACTGATTGATTGGTTTATTGCAATGAGTCATATGTAACTAAATGTTAAATAACTAACATTTAAATGTTTTATCTGGTTTATTCTATATAAAAGTAATACATAGATGGACAGGTTTGATAATTTCACTATTAAGATAATTTCACCTTATCTTCTAAGATGCATAATGCAAATGTTTTTTTCAGTTTTTTCAATGCTTTGTTAAACTTTGCAATAGCTTTCTCGTGCTCTTCATCAGTCAGCTTAGATATGTCACTCAAATTACAAATGTGATTTGTATATTTTTTAATAATCTTGCTCTGTAATTTTTTTAAAGATACTTCACCTTTATTTTGTACAATGGTTAAAATAATATTTTTCCAATCAAACACAGCACTTTCACTGTCATTTGCATTTACTTCTAAACTGGATGTTTTTGAAATCTTGGCAACAGGTTCATTTTCCTCTGTTATTTGAACATTCTTTGATTTCAATGATCGTTTTTTAGATTTTGTTCGCTTTTCACATGTATCATTGCCATTAATTTCATGGGCTTCATTATTTCCATTTTGACACTCCGCAGAATTATTTTCTTTATATATATTCTCGTTATTTTGATTCTCAATAATGTTCTCCGTGTCCAGTAAATTATTGGAATCCATGTTTTGATTTGATGTTCTGTCATTCGCTGAAAAACAGAGATAATAAAAATATACAATTTATATTATACATTACAGTTAATTTCTTTGCTCAATAAACTTAAACAAGATAATTAAAAACGTACCATTATTTTCTTCCCGAGTCTGTACGGTCTGCACATCTCTCTCCCTTGAAACAGACTGTTGATTTTGTTTATGTGCATTCTCCATTTTATTCCAAACATTTTCCAAAACATTCGTATTTACACGATTACCCATTGCATTACGTATAAAATTGAGGAATTTAGGTTTCTTTCTTGGTATGTTTTCATATTTTGATAAGGAGTTGAGAAAATTTCTTTCTGCATTGGATAAATCTGTTGGTCCATTTAGCAAATTGTTAACAACGCCAATCCATTCTTGCTGTTTGCGTTCACCTTTATTTGCGCTCGGTTTTGGAACGTAATCTTTTCCGCTGTATCGCTCAGCTTCAGTTATGCATTTAGTATGTGCAACATATTCCTCTCCTCTTAAAATATAATTAAAAATATTAAAAACATGTATAATTATGTGCAGTTTTTAATATTTAACAATATTTATTATTTAATATTTAGATTCTTACCGAAAATCCTTTAAGCAATCTACACAAGTGAGGAAAGGTGTATTTCGGCATTTAAATTGATAATGTTTATCCACTTTGGGTTTTTGCAACGTATCACCACAATGGCTACAAGTAAAGACAACCATATTGTGATCGTTTATGTAACTAAATCGTAAAATTGATATCAATAATCGTCAATATGATCACGAATATGTCGTTAATTGATGAAACACTAATTTAACCTACAAACCATGTGTTTTAAATCGGCTCCATAAATATAAGTATGAACCATAGAAAAAAAACATGAAAGATGGTAAGTCAAGCAAATATTTCGACATGCGAGCAGCAAACTTGATTGGCTAGGCCATTTTGAAATTACTTAAAGGCAAATTTAAATTACTCTTTTCCATCTGGTTACCAAAGACCTCTTCTATAAAATTTCTCTGCTTATTTATTTTTTTCCATGGATGTATAAAACGATGCAAAGGACCAGTAACTAGAAAAGATAAAAAAAGAAGTATTTATTTTTTTTCATGAACTTATTATATTGTAACATGTAAGAAGATGTAGGTTCACCCATGAACAAATTCGTATGTAAAATTGTATCTTGAGTTAAATAGTACAAAAAAGAAGTAAATAAAAAATATTTCATAATTAACTCGGTTATAACTTCTAAATACAATACGTGTGAAAATTAATGCAGCAAGTAGAAACTGTAATTAAATTTCCATCTTTTCATAGAACGCATACAATTTAACATTTCATTGTACAAAAAACTATGCATTTCTGCACCATACATATTATTATACAAATAAGCTAATTAAATGTTTATTTTTACCCTAATTGCCCTCTTGATTTCTTCATGACGTTACAAATTAGTTACAATAGAATCACCTAATTTTTTTAAAATGTAAAGATCGAAAACAATAATTTTATTTACTTTGATCATTTTCAATCACATTTCTTAAAAGTTTTATAATATAGAATTTAATTGACGCTGCTAAATAAATGCCATTTACATTGAGTCTGGAATGTACACCGCATAATATACAAATGCAAAAAGAATTATATAAAGAATATGTATGTACAAGGATACATATCCATATAGTAACAATTTCATTATTTCATACAAATCAACATTGGAAATATATAAATGTAAAATATCAATACGCAATTAAATTCATAAATTTTTTTACATGCTATATGCTATTTCAATACAATTGAATTTGCTTAAATTAGATTTTTCTATCTCAAGTTTATCGAAAAAACAGTGTGATACAAAGTTTTTTGCACACACATATCATTTTAATAGTGCTTTATCATAAATCAGTGATGAACAAATTCAATAAATATTTAGCATCCTTGCATATTTCAAAGCTAATATAAAGAACATAATACCATTTAATTAAAAATATCAATTTTATTTCTAGTATTTTAATAATTTTAAGTAGTGTGATGTCTTTTTCTCTTTTTCTTATGAAAGATAAATTTAACAATATATGTAAAATTGTAATGTGTATTATTTTTATATACATATATCCAAATATATGGATTTTTGTTATATATATTCTGCATTAAGATTGTAAATGTAAATATGCAATTTATCAGTAAAATTTGTGCATCACTGACATAAAGCATAGATATTGTAAATTATAGAAATGGCAATTAAAACATCTAACTACACAATTAAAATGATTGAAATATGTTCAGCGTCATGAATCTGATATCAGATTGTACCAAAAACCCTCTGTGTGATGTGCGTGTGTGTGTGTTGCTAATATAATTTTAAAATTTGTAATATAATATAGGATTTCAAAAGCTGAGAAAACCATAAAAATTTTAGTATGCAATACTAACAGATATAACATGGTTTTTTTATATCAAATTTATTACATATTGAACAATTACGCATAGAAAGAAAGCACGCAACTAAAAATACGTTAACTTGAATTTTACATCGTATTAACATTAAAGAAATTTTGCTGTTTAAACAATAATTTCAATAAATGATTATAAAACAATACATTGTTCACAAAATGTTTGAAATTTATCTAATTGATGAATACTAGTGGATTTTTTATTAATTATTTCTCTCTCATTCCTATGTTACAAATTAAATAAATGACTATTGGTAGATATTGTGTGTGAATAACTTTTCTGATAACTTCTTTATCATTCAGATATTGTCATTTAAAGTGAAATTTTAATTTTAAAATTATTAATGATATCAATATCCGAGCATGATATTATTACAAGGAAATTTTTAGTGACAAAATGAGTGATACTTGGATGTGACAGATTAGCTATATAGTTATCACTAACTGAAGAGGCAGTGCTCAGTGGCGCGTTCCAAGTCCCAATTATATGAAGACAAAGCAACTCTTGCATTATGTTCCTCGATTCCCATATCTGTTAATCTTCTTATCTTGTCATCTAAATCAGGCATTTTTGCCGGTCCTAAAATCAATATATAATTATATGTATATATACATACACACACTTAAAATTATACATCCAAACACATATACACAAAAATTAAATCACATACCTCCAGCATATACAAATGTCCAATGTGTGGCAGTTTGACGAAACATTTCGGGATGGTCTTTATATTGCTTAGCAACTACAGCATCTTGAGGATCATCCGGCTCCGCTGCAGACAATAACGCTTGTAACGACAGCAGTACCGTACGCAAAGTCATTGCAGCAGCCCTTTGATACAAAAATTAAGAGTAAGATAAATGCTAATTTGTAATTTGCAGACTATAGTTTTTAATATTATGTAACTTATGCAATAAAGTTATAATAATAAATTGGAATATATGCAGAAAATATATAAATGTAATAGTTTTCACCAAACATAAAGCATGATAAAAATTGAACAAATATAACTTATAAAACTATTTACTATGTTTTGTAACAATTTTACTGTAAATTAAACTTTTTAATAAATTATTTTCAAATACAAATATATTGAAAATACATACCATTGATCTTTTAAAATATCCAAACAAATGGCACCAGTGACGGAAGATATATTAGGATGCCATATTTTTGTTATGAAACGTACCTGCAAAATAAAAGTGTTATTATTTACACAATGTAAAATATCTTTCAACAATCTATTTTCAAAAAGATAAAAAAATGCTTTGTCTATTATAATAGCAAGAGAATAAAATAAAAACTAAAATTTATTAGCAATACATTAATGGTTCATATTTATATTTCTCATTTATATATAAACTTGAAGCAATAAATATATAATATTCATATATTACAATTAAATAAATTAAATTACAATATAAAATTAAAATATAAATAAATTAAGCTCTGCATGTTGCAATTAAATATTATTAATATTGAATGTAATTAATATTCTCAAAAGTAATGAAAATAAGCGTTACAAATGTTCTTTAAAGATATATGTTTTTAAAATATCAACTTACTTTAGGAGGATTGAATGGATATGTCTCTGGAACTTTAATTTCAAGCACAAAATTACCCCCTTCATATGGTGTGTCTGGTGGACCAGCAATCTCACCCTTTAATTCGGTAAAACTATCGTTGACCAATTCAACTTTAATCGCACATTTTGCTATCTAGTAGAAACATCAAATAAAAAAAAATATTAGAGAATCAAGTAGCTATAAATATTTATTAGTTTTACTATATATAATTTGTGCTTATAATTTATGTTACGTACAAAAAAAACCAATATCAATAGGTTTATGGTAAAGATAATAAATATTAATTGATTATGAATATAAGATTGAATTAAATAAATAGAAAAAAATATTTTATAAAATTTTATTTTATACACACATTTAAAATATAAGGATACATTATAGAGAATACAATGATTGTTTTAAAAGCTACAATTAAAAAATTTCGCAAAAAAGTAATTTTAAAAATAATTTATATGTATTTATACAAAAATTAATATAAAATTATCTTTCTCAACTAAACTGGTGAAAAACAATTGATGGTTAAGAATGTAATGTTTGGGATACTTGTTTTCCAATCAATCCTGTTTGTCAGTTAAAGAATATGGCAGTTGCCTAATCATAGATAAAAGCATATAAAGCTGAAGCAGATACATTGCGACATCATGCTTTTATAAAATTCATATGTGGTATTACGTCATTCATAATACTTTCAAAATAAACATGTAATCAACATAACCTATGACATTCAAGCATGATAAGAAAACTCTTGACTGCTGTTAGCGATAATCTCCAAAATTGTCATGGCATTGACATTTGTAGTGTCTTGACATAATTCAGCTGCCTAGATGCATGTGGTAACATTCTATCACAAGGGACGTTAATGTGAATACAGAATGAGCAATCTAAAAAAGTGTAAAGCTACTCAAAGATCTCAATGCAGTCGAGATCCCAGACATCGCAGTAAGTAAACATTTAATATCTATGTTCATACAGTTTAATTAGAATCGTCACATATAGAATAAAAAGATGTTAATTATTACATCGCATATTCATGCATGTCAACATCCACAAATATGTGGTATTTTGTTATTTGCTGACGTAAAATTTGCTATACAAAACAGTTTTGAGCAACAGGAATACAATGAGAGCTATTGGAGATGAGAAACAATAAAAATTTTGCGATTGACGTTGCAAAATGAATGAAAAAACCCAGATGACAGTCGATCGACAAGACGATACACAATACAAACGATCGGACTTTATTGCAAATATGTCAATAGCTGATGCGAATTGCATTTTTTGTCAGGCCGCGTGCGTGATTCTCATTGCGAAGATTGCGTAATCCATGTCCCCGCTTTCATTCGCCGTGGGTTATCGAGAGAAATGGATCTCGCATCTTCCCGGGGGTGCTATCAACCGCGACTTTTCGCACACTCACCTCCTCGCTCTTTATAACCTCTTTAAATTCTCGTTTGATTCGCTGCGCCGCGATGTTCGCCATGGCTTCCGAATCGTTAGGATGGTTAGCACATTGTCATTGTCGCTCGGATGAATGAAAATTTAAGGACCACGCGTGCTCGCACGTCGGCGTCGCGTTTCAGGCGTCTTTCACGCGATGTATACCTGCGAATTTCGCCCGTCACCCTGTCCTTCGGCGAGTACTGCGCGCGGTCTCCCCTAACCCGTGGCCGTATTCAGAAACTCACGCCGTCGCGTGTATACACATGCGATTTATCATACGATCGGCGCCACCGGCACCACATTTCTGCGGACAAAACTTGACTATCAGCCCATTCTCGCGCCCGCTCCTTTTGAATTTTGTCTAGGTTCACGTCGCGTTACGCGACGGCGCCTCACGACTTTCCGAACTACATACACATGACTGCATATGAGGTGATCTAGCATCGTTTTCTGGCGGGATGAGAGTGGCACGTGTGTTTCAGTCGAGATATTTAGATTATGGTCGCGTTATTGTCGTAAGGCAAAGGTACTGAGCACAAGGGTTGGAAGCACTCGTCACGAAGTTGAAGATAGAAGCATTTTTGCGCATCGATCCGGCGAGCAACGAGCCAACAAGTAAAAACAAAAGATTCGATGGGTAGACATTGGTAGAGAGAGACAGAGATAGAGGGAGAGAGAGCAAATCACAAGACGCAAATCGCTGTATTGATTGCGACGACGCGCCCTTCGCGAGAGACAGCGAAGCGCGCCCGGCCAACGCGGCCGATGTCGCAATCGGTGATTTACGCAACGGTATAAGCTGGATTGCACTCAGTCGGAGATTATTTTCCTCGCAAGCGCGAAAAGCTAAAAGGGGGCCGCTCGCGATAAGAAGCATCGTTTACGCGCTAATTCCTCACGCGCGTAGGCGGAGCGTAATCCAGCGACGTCACGTCCGGTCTATGCGCGATCACCGATTGGCCGACCGTTCCGGTGGTTTCTGTTGTAGTGATGCCCGTGTCGCAGCCAGTGCGTGCCAAGAGTTTGTTACGCGCAAACTTAGAAAATTCTCGCGTGCGAGTCTTGCAGAGCAGGATGCCGAACATCAAGGTCTTCAGCGGCACCTCGCATCCGGATTTGGCCCAGCGGATCGTGGATCGGCTCGGCATCGACATTGGCAAGGTTGTCACGAAGAAATTCAGCAACCTCGAGACATGGTAATGGTCGCCGCGGGTACCCCGCTGCGAACCACGTTATTGTTAATTGCATGAGACCCAAGCGTAACCGTGACCACGTGTCATTGCGCACGAGTTGCGTATTTTCCATTCGGCGTTCCTCCTTGCGCCAATGCCGTCGTCTTTCACGCGTATTCTAACTAATGTTCAGATATTTCGTCTGTTTTTGCAACACCCCTTTCGAATGCTCCAAACAACCCTATCCTTTCGAAGTCGATTGCGTCCGTTAAACCGCGTCTTTCAACTTGGTGGCCGTGTGCTATAAAAATCGATCCATGCTGCAACATGCTATAATATGAATATACACGCGAAATCGCACGTATGTGTGATATTAGAATTTTCGAAACTCGTAATATGTTATTTATCGCAAAGACCACGTGTATGATGAATTGAAATATGTAAATACCACGTGTAATTAATAAACGAAAAAAATCTTTATCAATGTCCGTATGGAAAATGCGAAGTATAATACATATTATTCAAATATCAATTCGAATTTTACACTTGCTAAAAATAATTTTAATATTTTTAATACTAACTCCTTTTAGTTTAAGAATTTTAAGTTAAAATTTTATTTGGTATATTTTTCACTACATATAATTAGATTCGATTGTTGTAAGATCGCTAAAAATAACAAAATTTAATATTTAGCGTGGAGATAGGAGAATCTGTTCGTGGAGAAGATGTGTATATCGTGCAAAGTGGAAGCGGTGAAGTAAATGACAATCTAATGGAGCTCCTGATCATGATCAATGCTTGCAAAATTGCCTCAGCATCTCGAGTGACAGCAGTTATTCCTTGTTTTCCTTATGCAAGACAGGACAAAAAGGACAAGGTAAGACAGAAAATAATAAATTAATGATTACTTGTTTAGATAGGTGTGCACTTAAATAGTTTTTTAACAAAATAAATATCTCAATAATATTCACACTAATAAATAACACTATTTTAATGATAGTGCTATATAAGTTAATTTTTTTTTGTTTTATATTGTGTCTTAGGCATATAAGAATATTTTATTTAAAGTAATTTAATAATTTATATAATATAGTATGTTATTGAAATAGCTATGCAACATTTTGGATAGAATATTAACTTTTTTTGTGAATATTTTTTAATGTAAATGCTTATCTCTTTTAAAAATTATCAACATATAATGAGCTGTTTATAAGTTTATATAATGAACTTTGCAAAACAAAATAATAAATAAGAAACTTACACATTATATGTATATCTATATGCTTCTCTATGCATTTGTGATAGAAAATTTGGCTATAAAAAATATCTTTGGAAAATGATCTTATTTAAAATATTTTTAAAAAAGATTATATCTTTATTACAAATATTTTGATAAAATGGTTTTATTCAATATTCAGCAATATACAATATATAGAAACACATACACATACAGAAACAATATTTCTTTTATTTATTATATATATATATATATATATATATATATATATATATCTATATACACATACACACATAAGATATTCTATCCATGCATATTTCTGAAATGCTTAATACACTTTAGTAATATTGAACATATGTCTTATACAACTTACATAATCATTGCAGAATGTATATTCATATATACACACATATATATATATATATATATGTGTATGTGTGTATTACTATACATGTACATATAACTGTATATATACTCTACATGCTGCAGTGATTCCTGCGACATCAATCCTGCAATTAAACAAATTACATACTAATGTGCTCAATTAATTTATCATTAACATAATCACAATCCACTGAATAAATTAATATTAATATTTCTATTTACATAAGACAGATTAGCAATACAGTTTTACAAAAAACTAACGTTTAAACTTATAATTTTTCTGACAGGACTTAGGTATGTCTCATCTATATGCAAGTAGTTAATATACATATGTATATTCAGATATATAGTATAATCCGCAAAATTTTGAATTGTAATGATTTATAAGAAATAGCTCAGAGAAAGTGTACACTTTAAACATTTATATAATTAGATAATTCTTTTCATTGATATCTCTTTGCTTAACTATAAATTTATAGCAATTCTTTGGTGAAAAATATTTTATCATTACTTTTCGAATGATACAACGCGTTTATATCATATTACATAATGCAAATGTGCAAGCTTGTCTTTGTAAAATGTGTTTCCAGTTTCTGATTCTTTTTAATATTACCTTGAAATCCAAGTTTTTTGGTAATAAAGCGCAAGAAACAGGAGAAAACAGTTTGTCTTGAAGAAGAAGCTATATTTCTTTCATGTACTATCTTCACAGGGCGGTGATGGTGGAGACTCTAAAAATCAGATTGTCATGAAGTCGAACGAGTGGAAATTCAGGGTAACTTGCGGCGGTTCTTTTTCTGTTTTATTTTATATTCTCTCATAGCTTTGCAACAGACCAGTGGAGAAATATCATTTCAGGAACGCAAAACTTGATCTCTCATCGCCATATAAAATATGCTTGTAATCTACCGGCTTTATGTTACTGGGCTGCATTTAATAGTACACACATTTGTATATTGCAGGAGTTTCACCATTCGTTGATTATTGCAACTTTGTATTCTCTTCAAGATATCTGTATCTTTTTTCATTTAAGAATATCAAATGATTGTATATTATATAGATAGTTTTTATACAAATATGTGAAATCTCTATAAATAATTCTAATTCTATTACTTAAAAAATTTAACAAAATATATAAGAAATTTACTTTTCTGAATTTTATTCTGAAGCAAATGGTGAAACTAATATAGTTTCTAAACATGCATACAGGCATATATATATATATATATATATATATATATATATATATATATATATATATATA